TTTTATTATTGAAGTGAGTTGCTGCCTGGTTGCATTAGAAATATAGTGTGGGCTGTGAATGAAGTAAAACAGTCTAATCTTTAATCTGTTAAATTTGCCCCATGTGTTTTTTTTTTTTTTTTATTGAAGGTTGTAGAAATGACAGTAAAGTTACAAAAAAGCAGACTGCTTTAAAATATGGTGTAAAACAAGGATAAAGCAGAGTTTTGGCAGGTGTGACCTAAACACTCTTGCACAATCTGTGGCTCTAGCTTTGTGTCTTCACTTGTTCTATTCTATGATCTCCCTTCTTTTCATGGCTCTTTGTTGCCGAGGAGACATCAACATAGCCATGGCAATGAGTATTGACGCGTGAAATCCACCTGTCTGGTATAGCAGTAATTACTTATCCATCTTGGGAAGCCTGAGAATGAGGATGAGCTTAGAGACAGACAGATGCTGTCAGAAAACGAGGAAAATGGGTGTGCAATTGGAAATGAGGGATAATTGCAGACAGGAGAGTGAGATCAGACAGGAACTAACTAAGACACAGACAGACTAAAAACAGATTGGGGACATTGTGAAATAGAAAATGAGTCTGTGGACTAATGGTGTATAAAGGATATATCTGTTTGTCTGGATGTCTGTCTCGAAAAGATAGTGTCACACTGGAATAGAGTCCTCAGGATTTATATACACCCAAAAGGTTTCTGCCAGGCACATGGCCAAAGGTGGGCTGATGTTAGTGCACCAGGCCCATTTTCTCCTCTGCTTGTCTCAGGTGGAGTTGGAGCTGGAGTCTCTAAAGAAGCAACAGACCCCTGCTGTTGACAGCACTTCTTTAGTGAACAAAGAAGAGGTCAGCATACTCAGGTAGTTTGCACACACACACACACACACACCCTGCTGCAAAGACAACCAATTCAAAACCTGTAACATGAAGGATTAATTCATATACCATGGGTGGATTAACTCAGCCAGACCTCAGATGTCTGTCAGCAGAGCAATACCTCTAGGATTAACCTGTTAAGGCAGAAATATGCATAGTCGCTATTCTACATGTATGATATTATAAACTGGTACGTGAGTGTGTGTGCATATATTTTTCAGACAGAAAATTGAAGATTTAGAAGCAGAGCGGCAGCGTTTGGAGGAGCAGAACAATATTCTGGAGATGAGACTGGAGAGACACAACCTTCAGGTAGGCACCAAGACTTCCCTCCAACTGTTTTCTGTGATGGATTTACTCGTCTGGCACAAAGAAACCAATTTAATAACCCCAATGGCTGCAGCCTAGCCCATATGACATTGCAGATTGATTCACACAAACGGTTCCCATATCTGACAGTTTTTCAAGCACAATTGGACCCAGGTGTGTTTCCAGCCTCGCCCAATCGAAAAGTTGTGGCTCATTTAACGTCCTCCTTTATTGGTTGAAGGGATTAGAATGGACAGAGCAGTAGGAGCGGAAGAGATATCGTCATAATAAATGTAGACTTTCCCTAGTGTCAGCTGGGAATGAAACTAGTTAAAATGAAATGAATCCTGGTTGGTAGTCACCTTAATGTTACACACGCAAACACACATGCATGACTGTGTGCATCTAATCCAGCTACTTTCATCTTGCCAACGTGCTTAACTAACTCCCTCTGTTATACCTGATCCCTTCTCCTTTTTAAATTGCCTCTATGTGTGTGTGTTTCATCTCAGTCAGGCCCTTTTACTCCCCTGACTCATACTGTGCCAAACTAAGCCTACCAGGGCACTTTAATGAAACGTGTGTGGGCAAGCGTGTTGGTTCCATTTAGCCGTGGGGTGAATGAAATTCATGTGTTCTCAAGCATTACCACCACTTTTAAGGCAATTGACAACCAAGTGTGCGTAGGAGTGTGTGTGCACAGGTTTCAAGGTTGCACGGTCAATGGATCAGTTCTTAAGAGTTAATTCTTACGACTCCTCCATGGTCGAATGCACACTGAGAGACCTCTACATCAGACCGAGTGAAGAGATGAGTGACTGAATGGAGAAGCATTTGAAAGGGGAAATGAATGGCTGAATGAGTAGGCATGAATGACTTACAGAGTTGAACACTTGAATGAACTGACAATGGGATTTTTCATTTTATCAACTCGCACGTCAGATACTTGCCGTCTAATCCATCATTTTCGCCCTGCCTTTATATTTAGATCAAAGTGACGAGAATGACTGTCAACCACTAAGATTACCAGTGTAAGACTGCTTTTCACTTGTGGCTCAATCATGCCCACCAGTAATCTGTCAGGAGGCACTCCTGGGAAATTCTCATTTTCATACATCTCTATATATGTATTTACAAAGCACGTTTTAAGGACCAGTACACATTTAATTGTGTAAACACAACAAATGCAACTGAATCAGTCTCTATTGTGCAATTTAAAGGATGGACTAAGGATTAACTGTATACAATTTACAGTTACAGTAATTTGTTACAAAGCTGAAATTAAGCCTTTATTATGGTCAGAGTTCATTTAATATTCTCTTGGTCAGTCAGTGCATGCTCTTGCTCTTGGTTATCAGCACCACAAACTTGGGCCAAATTTGCAACATGCATTCTGCATTCTGCAATTTGCTCGTTTCATTGCCATACTTGTGACCCATGTATGAGCAAATGAGAACCCTATAGGACTCACAAATGTATCTGCAAATTGTGAGTGACAATCATTTGTGAAACAGGACAGTTGCCGTTTTTGATCTGCGTGTAAGCTGTGCTTGTAAATCACGTTGTGAAACAGTCCCCTGGTTCACCTGGTTCACCTGCTGTGGTTGCTCTGCCTCTAGTAAAAAGGTGCTCCTTGTCGGTGATCAGAATAAAACTCTGAAGTGTTGCTTAGATGGGCAACAGGGTCTCAAACTAAATTGCTCCGCAGCTTAAAACATGTTCCTGCAATTTTAGAGTTGTAATGGCACTTTTGCACAGGCATCCTTGCTGTGCAAAAGTGCCATTTACAATACACTGCTTGTCTTATTTAACATACTGTATTCTGGAAAAGACTTCAAAGTGGACAAATACTTTTGAAACTTGAACATGTTTTGAAAACCTTTGAATTCAATAATCAATGATTTTTCGGGTAAGTGTGTAAAAGCAGTCTTACATTCCTGTCTTTTCCTGCTGCACTTCAGTGTTCACTTCACAATCAAAGTTGTCTGGTTGGTAACGTTTTGTTTTTTTTCAGCTATACTTTTCTTTATACAGCTGTTTTTTTCATTGTGTTCTAATGCGTCGTTGCTTTTGTTGGCCATGCTAACTAATGAGTTCTCTGAGAAGAGATGTCAGCCTTAAGATTATGTATGGGAACGAGCGCTACTGCAAAGCTTTCATCTTTTTATTTTCAGACTAGTGGATTCTCTATTTATTCCAATCATTAATTATTGATGGTGACAGAAACGTAAGCACATTATGTCCTGTGCACCAGGTTTTTTTCCAACTTAGAGGCTTTATGAATTGGTTGTAGATTATTTGGCGACAGATAAAAGAGGAAAACATAGAGATTGGAAAATGTATTGCTTTGTAGGCTAATACCGTAACAAGGTAGATTTGAAGGGAGTGTGCTGGATAATTGTCTGACAAGGCTATCTCAAAGGACCTTCAGTATTCAATTCAGTCTTATTATTAATATTTTATATAATATAACAATAATGTAATTTGCAGGCATGTCGTTTTCAGAACCTGTCAAGGACTGTTCTCTCTCTGGTGAGAAATGTTCATTAGCATGGAGGACAACAAGTGCAGCAGAATTATAGCTATTTTGAATTTATAACCACAAAAATTATTTTTTTTGCCTAATATCATTCCAGTCCTTACCATTTCTTTCTTGTTTATTTTTTGTTTACTGTTTTTTCTTTTCTGTTTGTGAACTACACACCGTGACAGCAATTATGGTCGACTTAATACTGCTGTACTTTGTCTTTTTGCTCTTGCTGTCATGCCAGTGTCTAGACAGAGATAATTGTTGCCGTTGCAAGAGGTTGCATCAACGTAGTCTCTCTGTTGTACATGTGCTTACATGTGCATGCCCAATTGTATAATACTCAGCCACACAGCAACATTACGTTTAGACATTATTTTCAGATAGAAAGAGAAATAGTACTAAATGAAAAAACTGTGGATATTTGTCTTTACTATGACATGCTTGTAGCCAAGGTTAATTTTTTTCCCCCTGTCTTACTTTAGGTCTTAAGTTGTGCTCGTGCTGTTTATAGTGATACAATTTGCATGTTCAGGACATATTTACTTTTGTTTTTCCAGTAATTGAAATACATATATATAGTTTATCCTCAATATGGGGTTTTATGGCAATATGGCAAGTAGTTGTTGAGGTATTTTGCTCTCTTGTTATATTTTGTTCTTAATAATGTTGGGCAGATGGACAGACCAGGTAATTGCCAGCAGTTGCCATCTCTGCTTGCAGGGGTAATAAAATTGGAGCCAACCGAAACAACAAGCCCTTGTGACATGAACACTTACCACTTTCATTGCCAATTTCCTTGGGGAAACCATGGCCATACTATATTTCACTGAGACAGTTGAGTACAATAATATTGTTACACATATTTGTAATGACAATGTCAAAGACATATTTACCAATGTCTTTTTTTGACCTTTGCAACAAAAAACAATCTTGTAAATCAGAATTATTTCCGTATTCTTTCTAATTAAAATCACATTACAAGAATCATTGTAATAATTGTTTTGAAATGTATGCGATAGGCCCTAATAGTGTAAAGTGGACGTTGGACTCTGCCAAGTGATTTAAATAAATAATGCTGTTGCATACTGTGGATGGGTGTTTTCCAGAAAAAAGACCACAGTTAAGCTAAGATTGATGATGATGATGATGATATTCGTGGCCTAAGGACGGCAGCAGCAAATGAGGGCAAGAAGGAACTGTATCTTCAATCAGTTTTAGTATAGTTGGAAGAGTCCCACATAGCATCAACCTTCGACATGCCAACCTTAATTTGGAATTTGTCTGAACGTATGAAAACCTTTCCTCAATGAAATTGATAACAGTCTTCTGATTCTTGAGCAGAAGAGATGATGGCAGTGCCGCTCAGTTTTTATCGAGCAAATCAGTGAAATGATTCAAGATGTCAGGAAAGAGTGCCTCATCCCCCTTCAGCCTGCTCAGTGTAAGATGCAATTTGAGAGAGAAATGTCAGTAATGACAGTTATGGTGAAACATATTTGAATGGACAGTGCTTTTTTGCTTCTATTTCAAGACTGAAGGGAAAAACTGGGAAAGTTTGAAAAATACTCATGGAAATTTTCTCTTTACAACATTTAAAGCCATAATACAGCTATATTTTGTTATACAGATAAATATTTGAAACAGAGAACCCATCTGTCCAGTTGCTGGCACACTGCAATAAGCAGACGTAGGGGTCCAATTACCAGCCCAAAGGCACAAGAAAGGTCACTCCAACACATGGTTCACAGCTGAGATGTTTATGGTGTCTGATGAGGAAGAGGGTGGCATATTGCACATTCCAGTTACTCCTGAGGGATTCTACAGCATGTTGTTCTCCATGTTGAAGGAAGAAGAGAGACCTTGCTGCTCGGTCTTCCATGGAAGATGCAGCCGCTCTGCGGACCTTTTGTCTTCAAGCTTTCTAAGCACGTCAACCTACTCTTGCTTATCTGTGAACTCCCAAAGGTTTAAGTCCCTGTGGCAGAACCTACCAGAGATTCTGAAGCTAACACTACATGGTCTAAAAGGTTCTTCAGCTTCATGTCTACCAAGGCTACTCATCTGGTCCGTTACCTGAGTTGGCCTGCAAGGAGGAGGAAATTGTGCTTGCCATCTTGGTTTTGGAGGAAAAAATCCACTCGTCTGTTTTATAAAAGGCATAGACACTATGACCTGTCTTCAGACCTTTTTCTACCGCTTGGGATTCAGCGATCACTCTGTGGGCTTTCATAAAACAAACAAAAGACAGAGTCGTGAGGGTGTTGTCTTTTTGCTGTCGGCTCTAACTATAGAAAAGCAAGTTGGTGATATTTATGCCCTTCCTATGTGACTTGGTAGTAAGCGGTTTACACCTGGGAATCTGAAAGTGACCTTGCACCCGTATTCTGTTTTTATACCAAAGATGACCAGCTCGTGCTGACATGTGGATATCTGAGCCCTTCGGCTGCAGTCCTACTGCTTTTCAGAACTTTTT